TGTCATCGTGATTTTTCTGAAGTGGCACCCCTGCTATACTGCGTTCCAGCGTTTTTGGCCGCTGAACTTTGTGAATTGGAACCTCGGAGCGAGTCACTCACCAGAAGTTTGCTGGAACCTCGGAGCGAGGCCGCGTCTCTACACATGCTGACATGCACTGTCGCATTCCTCTTACTCAATTTCTTCGAATCTCTGGCGACACAGACGCCCGACGTCCTTAATGTTAGATGTCGTGTTCTTGCTCGCAACCCATTGTTTTGCATCTGCCCAAGTAATTTATATGAGCTTTAAATCGGGATTGTACGGCGGAAGTCTCAGCTTTGTCTGCTAAAATCTGATCAATCACATAATAATTGTGCTTCGATCTCTTTAATTTGATGAAGTCGTACAGTTGTCACAAAATGGGATGTTTCTTTCCAATAGCCAGGCTTTCATTTCGTCCTTCTTTGATTAAGACGTCGGTGGTTTGTCTGAGTGTTGTCATACGAGGCGTTGTCAGTGACCAGAAAGGAGATTGCAACGAACATTTGCCACAGCCACAAGACAGCAATTATCAGGCTTCTACACTGACTCAGACTGTACTGACCGACGGAAACTCATTCCTTCCGAAGCCAAATTATCCCCGCACTTTGATCCCACACTCGCTCCGAAGGACTAGCTTGTTTCAAAGCAATTGTTGAGACCTGCTGCCATCTATCAATCAATGTCCCTAACCATTACAAGAAACTTGGCGGCGAGCGTAGTCCACTAAAAGCCGACAGGTGGAGCGCTCAGATGCCAGATGCTGACAACCGCAACAGGAAGTTTGTGCGATCGGGGGAGCCAACGGGCTGTCGGGACATGTAGCACGCAAGGGGCGAATCAGAACACCGACGCGGAGATGGAAGGAAGAAGGCAAAACCTGTGACTGGGCTCACCGTCACCTACGGCAGTGCCTAAGAACCGGTGGACCTGCACCTCCACTCCCGAAACGTCTTCTTAGCTCCCGCGCTTAAATACGCACCGCTCCACTACAGAGCAGGGAACGAACCCCAGGCGTCCAGAACGAAGTCATTCACTAAATCTTCAATTCCACCAACATTTGAGGGGAAATTCTGCACGTGACGAACGCCCCCGTGCGTCCACCCCCCAGAGAACAAGAGCAACAGAGTAAAACCGCGGACTTGACTCAGTCTTGCGCCTGGCACGTTGTTAAACGACACTGCGTCGCCTACAGAGGCTATTTAATCTCGAGTTAGACCTTGTGATAGTTTTAAAAACAGTGGCGGAGGCGCCTCGAGTTCCACGTGAGACGGAAAACGAGGTCGCAGGTTCGAATCCCCCTCACTCCACGGGCCACGTACCTGCATTCATCGCGTCGGTGCGGAAGGCGGCGGCGGCGGCAGACAGGAGCACTGCGCCACCCCCGAGCTGCAGACCGTGGTTCAGCACGTGCACCCCCACACTGCACCCCACCACCACCCACCCCCAACCCCCCTCGGGGTAGTAGTGCCTCCTGAGGGTGGCAGTCTTGCGTGGGTCCAGAATGGGGGGCGGTTTGCGGACGGGAGATGGGGCGGTGGGGGCGGCGAGGAGAGGCACAACACACGAGTCCGGGAGCGCGCGTCGCACGACGGGCCACGAGCTGCTACGACTCAGCATCGCGACGACAGCTGACTGAGGCGGTCGGACACACGAAGTTGCCTCGCGCGTGACACGCCGAACGGCGCATGCGCTCACGACACTTGCCGGTCAGTCGGCGTTTCTCAAACTGCGGGAGACCGCGAGCTAGTCTCGTCTCACTTCGTCACTCTCTCAAGCCACGAAACAGGCGGCGACAACGAAGACACTCCTCACATTTAGCGCTGGAGGGAGGATGAGTGATGTTGGCGTTTAATTATGCACTATGCCACGTAGACATATTGGGGGAACGAGGGTGTAACTCCACTACTTGCATGCTGAGCCTTACCCTGGCACCCATTTGACAGGGGGGCTGGGCTCAACCCGGAGCCCACCTGAACACTTTGATGAAGAGGAAAATCCAGCCAACTGCCAGTCAAAATACTGACTCAGCTACGCCAGCTCTCCATTTACCAGTCCGAGCGACACGAGATCGAAACGTCGATGAATATGTGACGTTTCTCTTTTCTTCAGCCCTCATATCAGAGTTCCGTTTAAAAACAGGACGTATAAAGAAAGATGGAAACGCAAAGCAGGACATAACGAGGAGAAAACCGATAGACCGACGAGTACTTCGGACGTCAAAGTAAAATTACAAAAGATACATAAATATGCATTTACGGTTGGTTGGTGATTCCAGTGCATCTGCATATGAAACTCTGGGAACGAGTCCAAGCTTCCTTCAAAACTACAACACATACTGAATGCAAAGACACATTTTAAATGTGAATGTAATGAAATCCAAAATTGATCTGACATCAGTCACTGAAAGTAAACATGGAAATGCAAGTGAAGTTTTCTGTTTATAGTTGAAGACTCCGCTGACATCACAGTTTGTTCTATTTTGCTTGCTAATAATCAAACTGAAGAGGACGTGTTTATTTACGTGGAAACATCTGCCTCCTCCTTTCCCTATTTTGTCATCGCCTCGGTTCGCTCCGTCTCCCCTCGTACTCAGTAATCTATTTAGTATTTCAATGAAATTATCTATAAAACCACTAAATTAACATAATCTCATTGAACCTAAAAATATACAGGCCAAAAACTACTCTCATCCCACGACACAAATTTATTCTCAGTGCGATCTGACGCGATGAAAACGTAAGAAGACGAACATAACGCTTCAAGATGTTATTTGCATTCTTCTGCGGCATTAAAAAAGATTAAATCACAGGACTGGCACGAATTTTACAAAATGTTTAAAAAAAGAACAACACTCTCAACAAAAAAGAAGCTTACTTTCCTTAAATACACATTTCTACTCCAATCGAGAATTTCTTATGGCCCTGAAAGTTAATCGCAACATTTATTCCATGCTGTACCAACATAACCCATTAAATTCTGCCATTATCTCTGCACTGCTGGTCACAGTGGCCGCGCGGTCTGAGGCGTGGGCCTTGCGCGCTCGGACAATGGAAATGTGGGTTCAGATTCCACTCAGGGCATGGATTTCTGTCCGCGTCTTTCTGTCTTGTGCAGTCCTGTGTGCCTTGCGACTGGCCGAGCAATCATTCGAGGAGTCCTACAAAATGTCTACTAGATTATGATGATGATGACCTCTTCGTTATTCCACCGTTATCTATTGCATTTTATAAAACATCAACACCCAATGTAACAAACACCGATCCACTAAGACAGGAGAATGCCAATCGCCTTAATGCTGTGCACGCGAAACAAACCTCTCACCATGACTGGTGAAAGCATAAGCCGCCGTTTTAATGTCTTTGCCGATCGAATGAATACGCACAGAGAAGCGTAGTAACAGTCACAAATATGTAAAATGTTGCTTACCTGCAATTAGAGGACAGTAGGTGTTTCTGGGCGTACCACTGGCAGCTGTAAAGCAAGCACATGCATGGTTTCAGACAACCCACACGATCCTCGCTGAATCCAAATTCCATGGCATCACCACACAGAACAGCAGATTCTTCACTCATGTACCACCCAGGCTGTCAACAAATGACAAACATGTGGAGTTACCAGATGTTGCTGCATTTTACACAAAAAGATGCTTTCTTATTGTTAGTTGGTGATCACAATGTAGGAAAATGAATGACAGGATATCCAGAAGATATAACAGTATGATTTCAAATAATCCTTATCCAACATTCTACACTAAGCTCATCAGAGGTGGAGAGTAACCATGATGAATGAAGTGTAGAGGTTACGTAAGAATCAGGAAGCAATATAAAAACTTTGCACAAAATTTATATTTCACAATGGATGCTGCATCTGTTCCTGAATCCACACCGTAGCTTCATCAGTTTGGTTGAGGGGAAGAGGACAGGCAGTAACCAAACAATATTCTCCACTATTATGTTCATAATTTTCATTGCTGAGTACTCAATTAATAAACATGCGTAGGCTAAAAATAATTTTTGTTGCAAGCTGCATTTCCTACAAAGCACTGCAGTGCAGAATCAATTTTGGCTCCCCAACAGTGGCATTATCAAGGCGATTTTAACCTAATTCCATGCTACAACAACCAACTTAAGATTAAAACTGTAAGATTTGTATTTTAGACGACGATACTTGTTATAACACAATTTTACGTCTGTAACCAGACAAATCTTTTACGCTGGGATATGACAGATGTTTACCTGAATTAACATACTGCACAAGAATGAGAGCACCATTATTACAATTTCGATAATTTCATGGAAAACAAAAATGTTATACAAAATGTATTCACAGTCCTATGCTTCCTACTTCCATTTTGAACTGCACTTTTCTAGCCGATTACATCGCACAGTGAAACATCAAGGAGACCATGATATTTCTGTCCACGGTCAAACCTTAACAAAGAGAATAGGATGCGCATGGACGTATACTGCATGCACGGATCGTTAATTTTCGCAATAACTGGAAATTTTTGAGAGATTTCAGGTTCTCATGCCGGCTAGTATAAGGAGGGTCGTTGCGCCGCGTAATATGGTAAAATCTTACTGGCGTTTCAGAGGTACTAGCTGCCTCCATCATCAGAGCGATGATGATGGAGGCAGTACGCAGACGTTTACCTACGTTTCCGTGGTGCATGCATCACCACCCTAATTCTAATAGACCACATAGCACAATCCAAAAGACAGTCATCTTCAAATGCAAGTTTCATTATGCATGACTCAAGTAACTAATGCCAAGACATCAGAATGTCAATACGATATTGCTAGTTGGTAAGCTGATAAAGACATTTCCCACTGAATCATAAGGTTCTTCACAATAATCACAAAAGCATGTAATTTGACCTTGTCTGGAACTACTTTGCACCTTAACAAGCTGTATCTTTAAGACAGTATTTCACTCCTACAACAACTAGTCTTCAATATGGTTGCTCATGATCAAAATTCACAATGACAAGAGTGGATTTATTAGATCTACCAAGTGCGCTACACATCTTAATTCTTTTTATACACAATCTAACAGTATGGAACTCAACATGCATTTTTCCATACTTCTTCTATTTCATCTACTTATTGTTTTATATAAAACGTCCCAGTAGCATTATTAGAAACAACATTTCGATTTAATTCTTTGACTATTAGGTATGTGTGCGTTTATGTCTAACAAGGCCTACAGCTTGTCGGTAAGCCTTATCACATACTTCACATTTATATGGCATTTCACCTGTATGTATACGGTAATGTTTCTTCAGAGTAGACTTCAATGAAAATCGTTCTTTACAGACATCACAATCGTACGGTTTTTCCCCCGAATGAACACGCCGATGAACTCCCAAATTATCCTTACGTAGAAAAACTTTATTACACAACTCACATTTAAAAGGCCTCTCTCTATTGTGGATTCGGTAATGTAAATATATTGAATCTCTACGAGAGAAGGTCTTTTTGCACATCTCACATTGATAAGATCGTTCACCAGTGTGAGTAAACAGATGGTTCATGTGGGATCCTCTATGCGCAAACCGCTTATTACATATATCACAACAGTACGGCTTCTCTCCAGTATGAATTCTTCTGTGCGTGTCAAGATGGTCACTTCGGGCAAAAGCTTTCTCGCAAATCTCGCATTTGAAAGCTGCTTCGCTATGAACGCGAATATGTGTTATAAGGCTATTCCGCTTAGAGAATATTTTATTGCATATGTCACAACTATAACATTCTAATGCACTTGTTTGGGAACTACCTTCTAAGTTTCCACAAACTTTCATATTTACAGAAACAGTGAAGTTATTCACATTATCACTGCATTCAACAGATACTTTGTCACAACTAAGTTGGTTATGAAGATGAACATCACCACCAACTGATTCCTTTAGCTGATTATTAAATTGCTCCATCCTGTGAAAAAAGGATGTGGATGCAGAACTCATGATTTAGCCACAAACAATGTTCAAAACTTTTGAAGATTATAGCCACAACTTACTAGCAAATACAGTCAAACTGAAAGTGCTTTGGTGAAATTTCAGGTTATTAGCAGCACCAAGTATGAAGACAACTCTCTTCTAG